CCTCCCCACAGAGTGTGCAGCTCCCAACCGCTCAAGTGCAACTTGAGGCACTGGACATGGAAGAGCCTAGCCAGTCGCAGAGCGTCTTCAGCGTCTTGACTGCCGGCTTCGGTGCTGGTGCGTTGTTGGGATGGTTGAACTCCAGGAAGCAACAGATTGCCTCCGTGGCCGCAGCTTCTGCCGTTGCTATGGCTCCTGCAGCAAATGCCATGGTGGACTACGACAACATCCAGTACCTGGGTGGAAGCGACAAGGTCGACATCAACAATGCCAACATTCAGGCCTACAGGCAATTCCCGGGCATGTTCCCAACCATTGCTGGCCTGATCGGCACCCATGGCCCTTACAAGCAGGTCTCTGACATTTACAGCATCCCTGGCATGGAGGACAAGCTGAAGAACATTGTCAAGAAGTACGAGGGCAACTTGGTTTGCCTGCCGGCGAACCCTGCCTACTTCATTGACCGCATCAACAACGGCAACTACCGCTGAGATTGTTGCAGTACTTTTTACCAAACCGTCATGCTGATTGGCTGACGTGAAAAGCTGCTCGGGACTGTCGCGCTGGTCATGTTTTCCACATTATTTAACATAGCACATCATGTTTTTCCTGCAGTTGGATGATGCATTTCTGACTTCTCTCAAGCAAGTAGAGCAGCTGTGCCCACGTCTTGAACACTTTGCAAGATACTTTTTGGAAGAATCTTGTGAAGCCTGAGATGGAATGCGAATGCAGCTCCTGTCAGTGCTGCAATCTGCTCTTGAGCAAAGTTGCCAGCGGAGGCGTTCGCGTCCCAGGGAGCAGTAGCTGCTACAGCGTGGCTGTGGAGTTTGTTCGATGGTACCTTGATGGACTGCAAAAGGGGAGGTATCATATGCTTTCATGCCATCTCCTGCGTGAGGTACCAGTGTGATCAGCCCCTTCCTGAAGTACGCGAAGTCTCACTTCCGGGATGTGTGCGATGATGTCGTCGAATCTACATTTCTTGACCAAAGAAATCAGGCTTGGGAGACAGGATGTAGTTATAGAATGCTGTAGATGACTGAGACTAGAGAAATGTTGGAATACATCAAGAATGCTGAGATTTTTGTGGTGGCACCAAACCAACCAACCAACCCAAACCAATTTATTCTTGCGCAACAATCATTTTGTGCCAACTCCAGCAGTGGCTTCTTGTGAGGTTCTCGACTTCCCATGCTGCCTCGTGGTCCTTCATGCGAGCACTGATGAGAGCATGTCCAAGATTCTTCACTTGAATAGACACAGCAACTTGACCGCGGTTTACGATTTCCTGTAGTAGCCGTATCTTTAGCACAAGTCAACAGCACCATGGGGCGGAAGATCCAAGACACTGTCACAATGTGGCACTCAATCTTTTTCTCATTGACATTTTGCTTTGTTGCTTTCTTTCACTACCATTGGTGTTCTTTGGAGGCTGGTAGGGACCTGTGGCATGTTGCATGACAGGGCAGTCTGCTCTAATTCTGGCTGAGATCTTTTGGCGAAGCCTAGGTCAAATCGTCCATCGGTTGGCTCGAGGGGGTGTACAGGAGGCGATATGGGCGGAAATCTTGGAGATCATGTGGTCTTCTGGACATTGGCCTTCGCCCCAAAAGGACTTGCATCCGACCTGCTTGATGTGTGGAAGGTTGGTCTGCGGCCCCCACAAGCAAATGGTGCAGCAGCTGCCCTCCAGGCCTCTTCGACGCTTGGCGGATGAAAGCCCAGTCTTGAAAGTGAATCCTGATCGCTTGTGCCGGCGCATTAGCGATCCCTGGATGCTGGAAGATGCGCCGGTAGTGCGGCATTGTTTCTGGGATCCTGAAGACTCTGAATCCTTGAGAGTGTCAGTGAAGCAGGTGGGATACTTGAGTTGGGATGCTGTGAGAGAACACCTCGAGAGCTTCTCGGTGCAAAAGACCGCCGAGCAGTGCCAATCGCACTGGCGAGAACTCGTCAACGCGGAACACGACGGCACCACGCAGAACACGCTGCGAGCACTGGAGAATCGGAGCTTGGGAGAGCGATGGAAACGGAGGGATGACTCAATCTCTGCAGAGATGGATGCGATGATGGAAGAGACTGAGGTGCGTGAGTGTGTGTGTGTGTGTGTGTGCGCGCGCGCATGAAACTGTTGGAATCTTGGGGGACTTAAGGCGAGGTTCACCTAGGTTTGCTTTAATGAGGCTTGGCTTTGTCCCTTTCCGGCCCCTTCATTTGGTTTCCCTTTTGGCTTCCCCCCGCACACACTTTCTTTTCCTTTTTCTTTTCATGTCTTTCATGCCTTCGGGACATCTCATCCCTTTCCATGTATACGTGCACTCGTACATGTAAACAGGTCGCCCAGGTTTTTAGGCTCACCGGTTGTCCCTGTGCACCTGGTTCCCCTTTCATCGCAACCACATACCTTTGTCTCGTGTTGTCCTCCTTTCACGTCTTCTCTTTTGTCCCTCTTGCGCGCACACGTGCACGTCAGTTAGAGCCTTAATTAGTTTATTCTTTGCTTTTCCTTGTTGGGGGGCGTGTGTGTGTGTGTGTGTAACCGGTTTTGTGTTGAATGTTTACAATAAGCAGGGGGCAGTAGCTGACTCATGAGTCTACTGCCAAAGAAGCTACTTATGAGCTTGGGAGGATATCAGGGCTGACTATCACCCTGACGTACCTGCAGTTGTCCACTTCTTGTGGTCCCTGCTTTTAACTAGAACAATCTCGCCAGCCATTGCATCGGTTCTGAGCTCTACAGTCAGACAAGTGTTCGTCGCTTTCGACCGCATCGAGTCGTGAAAAATTCGAGTTTGAGACTTTGGGACACTTTGGGAAGAAGGAGACAGTCAGACCGCCTTACAGTACACTTTCCTGGTTTACTCGGGCAGTTTTTCCCCTAGGCTTTTTCTAGGCATGTGGCGGCCTTCGTGCGAACTCTAATCCCGAGTGTGTCTGTCTTTAAGCCAGCCCAGGGTGTACCCGAAGAGTGTCCCCTGTGGCCTTGCTGAGCAGGGGTTTGTCCCTTTCTCCCGGCCGGAGAGCGGAGTTGTCCACAGCGGACGGGGTAGGCTTGTGCCAAACGTCAGTTTAGACTACATAAACGCCTTGGACCTTGAAATGTGCTTGAGCAGACTTCGTGTCAGGAGTAGCCCGCAGCGGGAGCAGTAGCCAGCCATTTTGGCACGGCGCGGGTAGGCCGCAGCGGCCGTAGTCCACCAAGGTCACGACCTTAGGTGCACGCACAGCATGCGCCGACCTACTTAAACTAGGCGAGGTTCACCTAGGATTGTTTCAATGAGGCTTGGCTTTGTCCCTTTCTGGCCCCTTCATTTGGTTTCCTTTTGGCTTCCCCCCGCACACACTTTCTCTTCCTTTTTCTTTTCATGTCTTTCATGCCTTCGGGACATCTCATCCCTTTCCATGTGTACGTGCGCTCGTACATGCAAACTAGGTTTCAGGTCGCCCAGGTTTTTCGGTTGTCCCTGTGCACTTGGTTCCCCTTTCATCGCAACCACATACCTTTGTCTCGTGTTGTCCTCCGCGCGTCAGTTAGGGCCTTAGTTTATTCATTGCTTCCCCTTGTGGGGGACGTGTGTGTGTAAGCTTTGGATTCAGCGGGGACCTTTGGTCTTTGTGTTGATTGTTTACAATAAGCAGGGGGCAGTAGCCCACTCATGTGACTCATGAATCTACTGCCAACGAAGCTACTTATGAATTTGGGAGGATATCAGGGCCGACCATCACCCTCGCGTACCTGCATCGGTTCTGAACTCTACAGTCAGACAAGTGTTCCTTGCTTTCGACCGCATCGAGCCGTGAAACTTTGGAGTTTGAAACTTTGGGACACTGGGCAGAAGGAAATCGTCAAGCCGCCTTACACTTTCCTGGTTTACCCAGACAATTTTTTCACCTAGGCTTCTTCTAGGCATTTGGCGGCTTTGGTACGAACCCTAATCCCGAGTGTGCGTGGGTCGCTCAAAGGTTGCTGAAACCCTTGTCGCGTCACACCATTGCAACACTGGATATCTCGTGATATCTTGTGAACCCTCATGATCTCCTCCAGCGGTTGAGGCGCAATGTGAACTATCCTTTTTGCAGTTTGAGCACCTTGGTATCCAGCTTTCTGCCATATATATATATGTATACATGGATGTGTATTTCAATGCAGTAAGGAGGTCTGCAACCAATGGGTTTAACGGTCTTTGGGGGGTCTCCCTATTTTAATACACACTCAAACGGGTGCTATCTTGAATTTTGACAGACAGGTGGAGAACGTGGAGACAGACTTGGGCAGCGGATTGATTCTTTGGTGCCCCCTGTTGGCTTGTTATTTGTCGCCGGAAAGCAGCCTAGCTCGACCACCTGCAAGTCTACTACCAGAACAGATCCAAGAGGATTCTGAAAGGATGCAAAAAAAACAAACAGTAAATCACATTTAGAATAATTTTGATGTTTTCTTTTCGTGTTTTATTTTTTCTGTGAGGATTTTCTGGTGGGCCTCTCCGCTTTCTTCCGCACGCCTCTGGTGGACCGCACGGGCCTCCTGAATCAGGTAGACTCGGCTGTCGTCGCATCGGTGGTCGTCGTCGGTAATCGTTGGCCGTCGTCTGTGGTCCAATGAGTCGGAGGTCGGAATTAGGGCTGGGGCCTTCTAATCACTCAGACGCATTTGAAGACACAGAGTCGCCTGACGAATTGGAATGAAAGGGCGCAGGGCCTGCAGGGCCTGCAGGGCCTGCAGGGCCTGGTGGGGTACAGATGAACGCCAGAAACACTCCAGTGGTTTCTATGGAAGAACCATGCACAATTGGTTCTAGTTTGCTGATCCCAGCCACCCCACCATCTGGGTCAACATGCATCAGCAGTGTTGTGGTCATGAAAACAAAGAACAAAGAAGATCCATTGACCCTCAAAGTAGCTCGGAAGATGGGTACAAGATGGTACACGTATATACCGTATTACCGTATACCTGCTTGTATCGGATCCGGTGCGATGGCAGGAGTGCAGCCTTCGTCTAGCTGTATTGGATCCCATTCCTGACATGGATGAAGCCTTCTCCAAAGATCTGGCCACAGCCCCTGGGCTCTGATTTCACATGATTTTTGTGTCCATTTTGGGCGTATCTTAGTTACTAAGTAGAGATCCCACACATTTCGGACATCCATTGAATTGAATGTATTCGCGTATCCGTTATATCTTGAAGAAAGACGACATAGGAGGCCATCGTTTTGTTCTTTCTTTAGGGCCATATGGAAAAGGCTTGGAAAAGCTGCGCGACCCAGTAGGCCCCCCTGCAAGTGATTTCAAGTGAGCTGGAATCTGGAAGCCAAGATCATGGATCAGCGCGCTGAATCCTTGCTTTCTTTGGCTGCAGCGAGCAACTGCAAGGTGGAGGTGCTGTGGAGTGGAGGTGTGCCCCTCCTCAAGATCCAGCTTTTTGCATGCATCTTTTAAAACGAAGTCCTGATGTCGTGCCCGACTCGACAGGAATTGACTCGACATCACTTCTGATTGCTTTCTTGCGAGCCTTACAGCCTCATTGGCGGCCCGGCGAAGGCGAAGGAAGATGCAGAGGAACACTTGACCCTCAAGGCGCCCATGAACTTTTTCCGAAGCTCGCTAAATCCTTTAGCGACGTTCTATTTGCAAGACACCAAGCAAAACGCCAAAAGTCAAAAAGTGAGAAAAGTCAAAAAGCAAACACAGCACATTTCGGTGTTCTCTGAATCGCACCTCTCACGGTGGACCGTGAAACCCTGCGAATCCACCAGAAACCCTGTGAGTCTACACTTGACCCTCAGAGTGACACCATGTGACACCCCGAGTTCAAAGCCTTTGTGAGTTCAACAGCTTCGATAGCTTCGGAGTGAAGAAACACCATGTCGTGAAGCGACTTTCTTTTTTGGTCAGGAAGCGATCGCATGATCGTGAGATGCAGTGCTGACTCCATTGCAGAATACCCGTGGCCAGCGTCCTTAGTTCGCGAAGCCTTTTCATCTCTTTCCTTCGTAGAGACTTTCCGAAGCTTCCTCAGGTTTCATGAGCAGGTGCTTTTAAAGCTACAAGGCGCTGGTGCCATTGACCTGGAGCCCTTAGCCGACTCTGAGGAGTTCCCGTCATTCTTCGACGGCGGACGGACGCCGCCCCCTCGCCGCGCGCGACCACGGGCGGTGTCCTTTTCCGCCGGTCCCGTCCAGGAGGTCACGGCACTGTGGGAAGGGCCAGCCTCGCGCCTCACCGTCACGGGCGAATGCGGAGATCAGATCTTTGGTTCGCAGCTCCTCGAGGCGCCGATGGTTTGAAGGATGGACGGAGAGAGGTTGGTGCGTGAAAAGACAGAGAATCCGCACCTTCCGAGGCTGCTTTCGTGAAGTCGGAGCTGCATGCCATCTACGAGCAGGGCTTAGATGCTCCATGGCAGGCGCCATGCTTGGGATGTTGGACTCAACACCAACTCCATCAACTCGCCCAAACTGGAGAATGAGATCAGTGATAGCAAATGGACACATGGTCGACACATACTGTACATCTTTGAAATTTTCATCCGAGGGCGTTGCGCTGGGTAGGGCGGCCGCCGCGCAATGGGCGGAGAGGGCGTGTCGCGGTGGGATGTCGCGGTGGGTCGCCGGCCGCAGGAGACCCTTTTGCCATGCCTCCTGGAGATGGGCGTCGTGAGGCCGATGGAGAGTGCGGAAGGGACAGATGTGGATGTGGTGGTGTGAACGAGCACGTAACGTCTACTGTAGTACGTACCCCAAGCGAGGTGTTTTTTCTTGGAGAAAACGCATCGGTTCTTGACCCGTCAAGTTTTTCCGTAACTCATCTCCAGCACTTGATGCCTGTGAGCTAGCTTGACTGAGCCGGTTGTTTCGAAGCTGATAAGGCCTGACCAGAAGGAACGTTGGCTCGCCTGGTTCCTGCGGAGAGCCTAGCTGTTTTGGCGGACCACTCAATTAAAGCTTGATAGAATGTGCTCATTGATGTGGCTCAACAGGACCCAAGGACTGTCGGACATCCTCGGACCCAAGGACTGGCTTAGTTGTTTTGGTCGGACCTTTGACCCCGTGTTTTCGGAGTTGGATTTGGCACATTTCAGCCGCTCCCCAGGCCATTTGTGGACAGATGCCCGGTGAAGATTTCGACCACCTTTGATTTGTTCCAGTGGCTGCATGAGGTGCTTCTTGTGGCTAAAAGCGGGGGGGCGCCTTTTGTGGGCTGCTTTTGGACGAGTTGGGTCTATTTAGTAGCTATTAGCTTATTGTCTCTATCTTGGGTCTACATCATTGTCGCTTTGCGTTGATACTCTCTAGAATGTCGGTTCCTTGGTTCCTTTGATATGACCACCAATACGCTCCAAGGCGCTCTTAAGCTGTCCCTTTTCCACTAGGGAACAAGTTCATCTACTTCGTCTTGAACATCAAGAGAGTTTCTTGATGGCCAAACACGGCCATCGAACGATGGCCCAACAGTGGTTCACTGCCATTTCTGGCCCGAGGTTGTGGTGGTTGAATCTGGCATGCAAGTGGCAGACGGTTTGCCTGAGGCACCAAACCCCATCGATGCATTTTCCGCATTTTCCGCCCTTTCTTTTTCCGTCGCCGACCGATGTGTGTTTCTTGCGACCGATGTGTTGGGTGCGAGGCTCTTTCAGAGGAGACCCTCTTTGTCATGGGCCGACTTGAAAAGGATTGTCCACTTCTTTCAGACCGAGGAGCGGAGCTCAGCGGAGCTCAGCGGAGCTCGGAGATGCTCGGAGCTCAGCGCATGGACTCGACCAAAACTCCGGAGTCGATGTCCGGGCGGTCGCACCGAAGGTGGGCCCACCGAAGCTTGTTGCTAGTAGCTTCTTGTTACTAGTAGCGATGCGAGGAGCTACGTTCGTAGCGATGTCCTTTGCTCCTTTTGCTCAGTTCGCTCCGCGATGCCGGTTCCGCTCGCCGCGTGGACCCCGGCCGCGTGCGTCGCGGCGCCAGGACTTCCAGCAGTGGTCCTTTCGTCCCGAGCATCATGCCGCGAAGATGCCCGACCACCAACGATGGTCCGCGCCCCACCGGGTGAACCCGACCCGGTCCTTCACGCGCCTGTTTTTTCGAAGACCGGGCGCGCACGGATGACGACCGGGTCGTTGGTTTGGCCGATTTGCTCACCGAAATGGGGAATGTAATGTAGACTACTGATGAATAAGGAGCCCCAGATGATGAGGTATTGCAGTCCAAATGGAAGGGTTTTATAACTCAAGAGGCTACATTAATTATGAGAAAATGGGTGAGTTGGATATAGTTGGATCGTTTTTCTTATTTTTTTAAAAATATCGCTTTTTGCAGTTCGGCATCTTCAATGTTGCCTGTTGGCTTTTTTTGGAAGGGAGGAACTTGCGACTGGGGTTGGCATTTCATTTGTGTTGAGGTCCTCCTACAAGCAGCCCTTGAAGGAATACATTTTCGAGTACACTCAGGCGCGCCAGCTAGGCCTCTTGGATTCCCCGGGTGCTTTTGCTGGGCTCAACCCAAGGACACGAACTACTTCGAACACAAGCTCAAAGCGGGGTCTCTTTGCCAGGCTGAGATCTGGCTTTCTTTCTCTCTTTCCTCGACTAAGGAACAAGGACAGGTTGGCTTCTGTTTTGTTTGTGTCAGTTTTCATCGGAGGTGAACGATGCAAGTCAGTTTGTAATCATGGGCGTGGATGACCAGCTCAACATCATCCGATTTGGGGAAACCTGCTGGATCCTCGGTGCAGAATTCCCTGCAGATGCAGAGCGTGTTAACTGTTAACCGCTTTGCTGTTCTGCACAGTTCCGAATTCACCGAGACACGAGGCTTGAGCAAGCGGCAAATGGAACGGATGTATCCGAACGACGGCTTGCGCAAGGCCTTTTGGAAAAGTCGAGAAATCGAGGCCCAAGCCGAGCGAGTGGTCTGACCCGCAGGTTTGGCAACAAGCGTTTTGGTGCAGCTCAGATTTGTTGAGATTGAAGCGAGGAAGCTATTGGCTCAAGACATGGGCATGGCAAGATGATTCAAACAGACGTGGCTGAAATAGAACCAAAGATCATTCACTTCTTCAAATTACGTCCTGCTCGAACGTTCCTCGTGAGAGTGCCCGTCGCCATGGCGAAACTGTTTTCCCACCATGACAGGCGCGCGTGTGACGGGAGTCAAATCAGATTCCCCCAAAAGGGTTGTGTCCATACCGTCCCTGAAACCATCATGGAAGTTCACCACCTGTGTTTGGTTTTGAGAGGCCATGGTCATCCTTTCGGGGCCATTTTCCCATCCACCATGGCCCATGATTCTTGCAGGGAGTGTAGCAGTGTAAGGGTTTTCCGACGAAACCGTCCACGAGTTGAACAGAAAGCAAACACGCATAAAACATGCTAAAACGCTACTTCTTCGTGAAGTCGGAGCAGTTTTGTGGTCAGACAGCGCTCAGAACTGCTTGAGGGTGTATTTTTCAGGCGATACCTACACTTTGACCCACCAAAGGATTGCCCAAAAAGGTCAGCCGCGTCGTTCCTCACGTCCCCCATGTGCAGTGCGACAGGGACTCCTTCATGAGCCTGTCCGTCCGCTGCTCTCCAGCTGTTGGACAGGTACCATTCTCATGCAATCCTCGGACTGTTGGCCTTGCTGCACTTTGCCTACCGAGCCTCGTCTTTTTGCAGTGTTTCGGACAGTCTGGGCCGGACGGTCCGGGCGATGTATCAAAAAACGAGTCTTTTTTCGGAGGCCCATCCAAAAAGGAATTCAGGACAACAATGCAAAAAGCAGGGTGGAACACGTTGGAACACGTTTTGCATTTTCTCTGATTCAAGGAAACCAGGAAGGTCGGAAAAGACTTCTTCACATGGGATTCGATCGGGGAGACCAGCAATTGGCTTTGAGTCGGCTTTGGACCTGATGGTCCTAGGTCTGCCGACTCAACACATCCCTCCCATGCACCCAAGTAACAACAGTTCCCACGGCCCGCAACGGTCGATGACGGAGGATTCTACACCCTTCTGGTGGAGCAGTGCCTTGGCGTGTGGAGCGGTGGTGACCGGGGCCCGTTGGCGCCGTGCGTGTTCAAACGAGAGAAATAGGGTGTTTGTCCAGTCTGTAGGAACGGGGAAGGCATGGCAAGACACACGGAAAGGGGCCATTAAACGAAGAAGGCGCTGGTAGGGGAAGAGTGCACTCGTGGTATGACATGTTTGCGAGGCGAGAGTCATTTTCGCCGGGATATTGGTCAGCTGCCAGCCTTTTGGTACACGTGTTCTTGCATGCAGCTTGGATGAAGCTTGATTCTGCACCTTCAAATGAATTGTTGAGTCCACCGTTGTCATGCAAGCAAGTTGTCGTGAAAGTTGATGCACGTTGGACAGCCAAGGTGTTGAGTTTTCAGTTTGAGCTGCCAAGGAGCGAAGCGCTCCGAGTTTCTTTCGGCATGTATGCTTCAACGTATGCTCCTTTAAGCGCTTCCTACTCAGTGCTTCCTTTTTTCCTATAACGCCGCAGGAACCGGATTTGGACCAAACCAATGATTTGGAGGTGAGCTGCGCCGAATCTTCCGAAAGCACGAAGAGCACCCCGCCTCTCTTCCGTTTTCCTCGTTCTTGGGCGGGGGGGTGGTTCGGTCCTTCGGTCCCCAGGGAGTTCCGGGTACACAACGCGATTTTCGCCTATCGGCACTTGGCCACGCACCCGGCGCGACACGCGATGTTGACACCCTGGGCGCCGATCAGCCCGAGGTCGGATCTGCTTTGGGCATTTGGGCTCCAGAATGGTGGTGGCAAGCGCCAACAGCAACCTCCTTGGTTGTCAAAGCCTCTCGGTTTCACTTGGCGCATGTGAATTTTCGGTAGAAGCCTGGTGACGATCCTGAGCCGTGTTTCGCATAGCGTTCGCGTGCGCGCGCGTTCACGCGCTAGAACGCGCCCGTGTGGCGTGCACGGCGCGACAGGTGGCTTTAGTTCTCGCTGCTTGCAAAGCGGCCGATGTCGCCACTGAGATGATTGGAAGTACGGACAGCACAGCGTCGAAGGTTCGTCGCGTTCGTCGAAGGTTCGTCGCGTTCGTCGTACATTCGTTGGAGTTGGGGAGTTTTGGGGCACCCGAATGAAAAGTAACATCTCCCTGAAGATGTGGATTCTGCAGTTCTCTTGCTTTCGAGATGGTGTTCTTCTGCTCAAGTCGTCGCGAAGCTGCGAAGGAAGAGAGAACGACCAACGCAATGCTTCACTCTCAGTTGTTCAATCCACTTCTTTGCGGGACTCCTGCGATTGCCATGCAAGCTTAGGCCATATCCCAAAAAGACACCGGAAACAACAGAGCAGGCTGAAGGGATCTGAGCAGGATGTCGTGTTTTGTTGCAAACCTCGGGATGGATGTTCTGCAAGGTTGCCAAAACGTTCTACGCAAAATCGCAGTTTGCAGCGACAACGATTGCGGTCACTGAAGCCGCATTCATTCCACCCCAGTTCGTCAGTTCATTTTGGGACTAGGCTGCCCAGATCTATCTGAGTGAGCAGTGCGGCGTATCGCGGCGTGCCGTTCGTCATTTGATCGTGCGCCACATGAGGCTTTTGGGACTCCTTCCCTGTCGTTTTGCTCGGTTTTGGCAATCGAGCTGGCATCTTTACTGATGACACTCGTGCGAAAGGGCATCATTGAGGCCAGAGAGTGTGCCTTTCCAATCAGATTCGATACCGCCGAGTCCAGCACGGCATGCAACATGCTGGCATCAGTCAGTCTCAAGATCGAACATCTGGCAGGCCAGAACCTACCACATTGTCTATGCCTTGTCGTTTCCTAGCTCAGAACGCGAGTCGCTTCGTCCCTTGTTCGCTTTTGGAGTGGCGGCACGTCCCCATTCTCACCGTGCTCACCCTTCAACCCCGTGCCTCCACGTACCGGTCACCTAAACTAGGCTCCACTCAAAGCGACTCCCTCGCCATGCCGAGCCATCCCAAGTCCCGTCTCCCGCAGAGGCTCTTCATCATGTTCCCGTGCCTGGTGGCTGTTCTCCACTCGGGAGATGCTTGGGCCGAGCTGGCGGTCTTTCGAGGTCGGGTCGGTCGGTCTCGGTCGGAAACACGGAGGGCCAGAGGACGAAGAGCCTTCGAAGACATCACAGGGAAGTGGAAAAAGCATGGAAAAGCCTTGTTGATACAGGAAGATTGGAGCACCCATTGATGTTCAGTTGGCTTCTGCGTGACCGGCTGTTGCAAAAGCGGGGTGCAGCGGATGGGGTTGCACCCCTCAAAAACGCGCTGCGCCGCGGGTGGCGAAGGCTTGATGGCTTGCGCCTTTGCAGTGGATATGCGCCTCAAGTACCGGTTGGGGAAGTACCTGACCTGGACTGTCTCCATTCTCGCAGGCGGTCCGATGAGTGCAGAGCAACCATGAAATAAGGGTGGTCATGAAATAAGAGAGAGGAGCCCACAGGGGCGGGAGGCACTTGCAAACATTTCGTGACAGGCCTCCGTGGCGACGCTCTTTTTGGGTTGTAGCACCCGCCTTACATGCGTGCTGTGTCAGGGTACGTGGCGGCTGAGATGCTGGCCAGTGTGATGAACTTCAAATGGATTGCTTGGGTTGGCATGCTTTGGTCTGCAGGGAGCACCTTGAGTGGTGACTGAGATGCAGTTGATATGGGGAGGCTGCTGGGGAGGATGGATTCGGATGGATTCTGCGATCTCAAACTGCAACGGGCGAAGTCAATTGAAAAAGGATGAGAAAGGATTGAGCGGTTTTGACTGGCAGGGTTTGTTTGGCCAATTGGAGTTGCAGCGGGTGCTGCAATGGTAGCGTATGGGCTCACAACAAAAGGATGCTATCGAAGGGGTCGATCTCGAAGTGTCGGAAGGCGCTCTCAGCGCCTTTTCACTCAAGCGCCGTCTTCCAGCGCTCCGTTGCCTATGGCACGTGTCAAGCAAAAGGGGCCCCTCTAGGATTGGGCCAGATGTCACCACTGAGCATCATCAGACATGTACCTTAGTGTACCTTGGTTGAACTGCTGCATCAACCCCAAAAAGAATTCTGATGATGCCTGGTGGTGCGAGAAATGCGACTCAAGCCAACTCTCATTGCCCGTGCTCAAGTCATGTAGGGCTGGGTCATGTACCGGTGGTTGGTCATGAGCCAAGTCTTCGTCTTGCGACGGGTGGTGGCATTCTTGGCCTTGTGGTGTCCAGTCACCTCTTGCTGGCGGTGTGTCCGCTCTTCTTGTTGCGGCGGTAGGAGTTGAACTCCGGGTCGAAGCGGATGCGCCGCTTCCCAGTCTTCATGAAGGTCTCCAGGCCATCGCGGCAGTCGGCCTTCTTCTTTGTCATAGTCCGACGCCAGCCATCGAAGTTCCGAGCCGACCCTTTGGAGACTGTCTCGAAGCTGAGAGGCTTGGAGCGCTGCCCTGAGGTTGCTCAAACCTAACAAAGGGCTTTCATTGCGCTCAACAGCATCGAAGCCACCACGGGAATCCGTGTAAAGGATCCCTCGCACCAGTCGAGCTTGCTGCTCAACCAAATCTTCTCGGACACTTTGTCAAAGGTGTCCACCACCGTTGATCTGACCAGAGCACCCTGCAGCGGAAGTTCATGTCTTCCGACCCAACCATACTTTGGACCTCAGCGTCGTTGCTCCCCAGCGCCTTGCGGCGAAGCTTCCAAGTCTTCCATTGGAGGAGCATCATCTTGCACACATGGCCATCTTTGCATTCTGGGCCAGCCAGTGTGGTGATCATCCCACCGGTGGAGTCGCCTTTTGGCCTGTTGTTGTGCGCTTGATCGCCGAAGGTGATGAAGACCAGATCTGCCCATGTGGCGGCAGTTGGAATGCGGAAGTATTCCAGGGTGTAGTGGTCACGGCGAACTTCCATCACCATGGACTGTAGGGTTGAGTCAGTGAGGAGCTCAGAGATGAGGAGGTTGCGTCTTGCGTTCAACTGCGGTTGAGTGGCCAGCCATTGGAGTCCTCCAAGGGTCGCATTCATTGATCTCCGCGCTTGTGAGCTGTCCTTCACCTCGAAGGCGTTCAGGATCAATTTGAAGGTCAGCCAGGCCATCAATGTAGGCGTTCTGGCTGACGGAGATGGAGAAGGTTCCATCAGCATGGTGCACAGTCACCACATCAGTGCCGGCGTGACGGTAGTTCTCCGTCTTGATCGTGCCCCACTTGCAGGCGGAATCAACTACTTTCTGGCATACCTGAAGCCATTCTTCACTGTGGGGGTCGCCAACACTGTGGAAATCGTCGACATGGCCTCCCATGGCGCCGATCAGACGCGGAAAGCGTCCAGTGGCATCCTTCTCGGCGGAGGAGAGCCAGAGGCAGCGTTCTCCCAAGGCAGCCTTTGCTCCGCACTTTTCCAAGGTGCGATGAAGGTCAAACCAATGACCTCGTGCTCCAGTTGTGGAAGCGTTGCATTCTGTGGAACTTGAAGCGCTTCCTCCAGTTCGGCCACGCCGGTTGTCCAAAGTTCCTCATCGGCCTCGGTCGGTGCAGTTTGTAGGAACGGTGTGGTGAGATCAAGTCCAGTCAGCGGCCATTGGTAGTGCGCGGAGAGGATGTAGAACAATGACCTTCCCAAAGTGCTCTGCGCTGGTGATGCCGTCTTGAGTTTTGGATCGGTGAGCGAGGGGTGTTCAAAACCGTTAACAGCACGATGCGTGCCTTCGCCTTCTTTGTGCCATCAGGGTGCGCAACAGTTCCTTCTTCGAGAGCTTCTTTGGCAGCAAGTGCACGTTCATCAGGAGGAATCGCCTTCCATGTCAACACCCATCTCGCACGGACGATGCGTCCGGAGGTGTAGGCTTGCCGAACTTCTTCGTCGTTCAGGCACTTGTGGACGGCGATGTTCTTGATGAAGGAATTGACTTCCTTGCCCTTGGCGAAGCGGAAAAGAGCTTGCTCAATCGGCGTCAGCCGTTTCAGATTGACCTCGGCGGCGTTGATCTTGCGGACCAAGAAGGACAAATCCAGGAGAGCTTCGTAGATGTTCAGGTCAGTGACTTCCTGGTGCGCTTCTTTCAAGAGCCTCGATCCACTTGAGGTCATAGAGCTCGGAATTCACCTTGGCATCGGTGGAGACGGTAGCGTCAGTCTCTTCAAGTCGAGCTCGTTTGGATCCGGTGGTTCTGCAGCAGACGTCGGATCCTCCTCTTCAGGTGGTCCCAGGGATGGGGTGTACTCCTCATCGTCTTCCATGGGAATAGTGCAGCAGGATCTGAAGGCGGCGCAAAGTGTTTCACCTTGGCTGGCGATGATGCAGATTCCGAGATGCCCAGTGGTGAGGATCTGTAGACCTTGCGGTAGTCCTCGGGCTTCAGTGTTGTCTTCTCTGTGGCACGTCGAATGGGTGGCATGGTACTGCCATCAGGCTCTTGTAGGCGCCAGGATCATTGGGGTTCATAGTGCGCAGTCTCAGTGGCCGTCAGAGGTCGTACTCAGTGAGTGGAGCATCGGAGCAGCTTGGAGCCGATCAAGACCCAAGTGATGTGTCGTCTTGGATCACCTTCTTCTTGGTGAGGTAGAGTTTCCTGACCTTTGCAGGTCCGTGCCACGTTGGTGGTCCAGCCATGCATCACCTTCCTCCTTGGATGGAGGTTCATTCACCACTGCGTGTTCATCACCAGGTCGTTCTTCAGGGCCTTCAGCGAGAGCGGGTTGTAGTTCCAGCTCTTGTACTCCATGGTTTTTAAGAGGTGGTCGTCGGAGAAGACGCGCCTGACGGTCAGGGACAAGTTCTTGTCTCCAGAGATGTGCAATGCTTTGGACCAGTTTTTGTCCACCCTTGCAGGTCTTGGCCCTGAAGTGGTTGTGGAAGTTCTCACTGGTGGTCTTGATCATCCATTTCTTCTGCAGGAAGCGACTCCATTGGTCTTGTAGGCCAAAGACGCAGCCATCAATGCGACGCTGGAGGGGAAGCCAGAGTTTCAATCTGCTGTTGATGAAGCTCGCGAACATCATGTTCGTGAACGCGAACGACGGCGTTCCCCTCAAGAACCTGGTTACCCTTAGTCAAGTAGTGAATCACACCCAAAACATAGTGACCCTTATGGTTGGTTTCCAACTGGTAGATGTCGGGATTCATTTTGTAGGCGTCCATAGCCAAACCAGTGGAGAAATCGATGATCATCGCAGTCTGGGGCCATTGATGTGATCCATCCCAATCAACAGGGGCGCCAAGGTCGTCTTGTCGAAGTCCGGATGGTGGTACTCGGCCGGGTTCGGCAGGGAAAAGACCGCAAAAGTGCCAGGTTCTCCGGAAGCGTTCGAGGTAATGCGAACCCGGTAGAGTGCGTGACCCCACTTCCCGCTTCCAAACCTGAGCAAGGGTCTCTCATTCTGCGCCACGTCGACATGAGCTGAGCGATCTTGCTTCAACGCGGCCTGGATTAGGCCTTCAAGGGCTTCAAGGGTTTCCTGCGGTGCAGCTGATGCGGTGGCTCCACTGTTGAAGAGTCCCTTGTTGAACGGAAGGGCCTTGGAAGAGCTTGCGGACTGCAGCTCATAAGCATCATGAAGTTCAAGGCCAGCCGGCCGCGTACAGCTCAGAGTTGTAGGTGTTCACGACCGGTGAGGGGTTGCCAATGCCCTTGCCCTTTGGTTTGCCTTTCTGCCGCCTGAGCTTCAAGCCACAGGTTCTTGCGTTTGCCCTGGCTCTTGAGGCAGGTGGGGGTCATTCTCAACCATGTAGTGTTTCATCTTGCCCTTCCCCTTGAAGCCAGGATGACTTTGGTCAGGGGAGTCGCGAGCAAAGTGCTTCGTGCTGCCACAGTTGTAGCGTTGACGTCCAGCTTGGTTGGGATTCACCACACGGCAGGTAGTCATCCTCACTGAAGAACGTCTCCTGGTAGGCCACGGAGTGGGTCTGGCAGCGACCTGCCAGTTGCTCGTCGCATAGGGTTTGAAGTGCTTCAGTGACTTTAGTGATCGCATCAAACTCAAGAAAGCCCCGAGTGGCTTTCAGGATGTCTGGAGACTGTCCAGTGCGAGCTTCTGCAACAAAAGCTGTGTTCCAGCGGGCGTGTCGAACTCGGTGGTCTTCCAGCTCATAGCCAAGAGGCGTGCTGGGCCGGTCAGGCGGGAGATCAGCTAGGTGGCGCAGTATTTCATCTTCTCCTGAACAGTGCCACGAACATACCATGCTGTAGCGTCTCCAGGTCTTGGCTTGACCGTCCCAGGTGGGTATGTGGTGCTCATTCTTGTCGGCCATCTTAGAGGGTGCAAGGCAAGGTCCCGACCCCGTCGTCGGGAAGTGCAGAAGGAAAAAAGAAACCACGCAACTTATGCTCGATGTGCAAAATCGATACGAAGGTGGTGGAAATCAAGTTGAGGCGCCGATGGAAAAGTCGATGGCGATCCAAGCCTCTTCAAGGCGATCAGCGCTGTCGACCTGCGGCAACCAACACGGACCAGGCCCTGGCAACGGAGACTCTGCTCCGCTACCAATGCGGCGGGTGTTTCAATGGTAGCGTATGGGCGCACAACAAAAGGATGCTATCGAAGGGGTCGATCTCGAAGTGTCGGAAGGCGCTCTCAGCGCCGTCTTCCAGCGCTCCGTGGCCATATGGCGCGTGTCGATGTCACCAGTGAGCATCGTCAGACATGTACCTTAGTGTACCTTGGTGGAACTGCTGCAGATTGAGCGGTTTTGAGCGGTTTTGACTGGCAGGGTTTGTTTGGCCACTTGGAGACCATGAGTGTTGACCCGAGAAAGCAGAGTCGTGAAGTCCAGAAACCTGCCTGTTTGGACTACGTCGCGGTGTTGGGTTCGGTGGTTCCAAGAAGAACACGCTTTCGCGCACACTTTCGCACATTGGTGTGCGGAAGCGCGCCAAGGTTTCTACAGTGTCAGGGGGAAGTATGAGCAGCAGGAAGGCGGGAGCACAACTGGCCAGGTGAAAGATTGACCGCGTGATGGTCTGTTTGTGCGACATAGGGAGACCGGGAGACCCCGCTTTGAACAGAAACCAGTGGTTGGGAGGTCTGTCTTGCAATTTCCTTGTATATACGTGCACACACACACATATATATATATATTTATATATTTATATATATATATACACACGCACACATATGCTACCCCCCACCAATACCACCTTTTGCGTTGAGAATGACACATGGCTCCCTTTGGCAAAATGTTAACATAGGATTAAGCAAGTAACCTCCCACAATTGATCACACCCATCTCGACCCCCCAGCACTAAACTAACTTAAAGCAATTATCCTGGCAAGAGACCCCAAACAGTGTGTGTGAGGTCAAGAGGTGTAGCAGCAGAAAGTCTAGAGATCTAGACGCATTGGGGTCCAGAGAGGTGGTGGTGATGAAGGCGATGGTGGCGGTGGTGGCGAGTGAGTGAGTGTGAGTGTGAGTGTGACTGAGAGTGAGAGTGAGAGTGAAAGTGAGAGAGTGAGCGAGTGAGAGTGAGGGAGTGACAGTGAGTGTGAGTCTGAGTGTGAGTGAGTGTGTGTGAGAGTGAGTGTGAGTGAGAGTGAGAGTGAGTGTGAGTGTGAGTGAGAGAGTGAGAGTGAGGAGGCATCCATTTGGGGGAGGTTGTTTTTTTGTCGCCTGTGCAGGGGCTTGCTCGACGGAGTAAGCGCCTTGCGTGTGAGCTATATGTGTTGTCTCACAGGGTGAGAAGCGCGTTGCCCGGACTAGGCTCATTGGTTGGACGCCGAATGGGGACGCGGATACCTTACAGCTCGAATTCATATTGTTACATGGCTGCGCGCAGGAGATCACGGCCGTGGAAACTGTGCTCCAGTTGGAGCCTCAGAACCTTGAAGTCAAAGCATCAAAGGGAGCGTGCGGGGGATGTATAGGACTGCTGGCAAGAACTCGGTTCGCGTGCTGAGCGATCCTAGCGCAGCAGAACTAAATCTAGGGAGCTAGCGGTTGATCGGGTTGAGGCCACTTTGCTTTCGGGTGTGTCCGGCGTTGGCGGCCTTCATTTGCGGGGAATGGAGCCTTTGATAGAGAAAGGTTAGTGGCAGGTGTTGCAGTTCAAGCCGTGTAGTGTATCTCGTGTTCTCCTTGCTGAGTGTGCAGATGGCAACCGTTATCATTCGGGCGCATGCAGCGTTTGAAAGCAGAATGTTGGCTCGAGCCGAATGCAAGCGGCGCTGGGGGCCACTCTTTGCTAACGTCCTCAAAGTCGCGCCACTGTCCGGAGGGTTTCTGGTGCACGCGCTGAAGCTGCGTGAAGAGTAGGAGCTCTCAAGTGGAGGTACCGATGATTGAATATATGTAGCTTCATTGTCGCGAGGGCGGCGCGCCTGGCAGGCAGGTGGTTCTCCATGAGGGTGTCGACATGGAACAGACCACGACCATTGCGCAAGCCCTCCAGCCAATGGGGGCAACGTCAATCATGGATGGCGAGCAGCGTATTCGCTGTCAGGGTAGGGTATTTATTAGAGAGATGTTTGTTCCAGAGTGGATCTTTGAAGGTGTATAGCCGTAAAAGTCGGCCCGATGTGTGATTCGGCAGGAGGCAGACGCACAGCTGAAGCAGGAGAAAGAGCTGCAGAAGCAAGGGGCGGTAACTGGAAAGCGCGCGGTGAGAGAATGAGAGTGAGAGAGTGAGAGTGAGAGTGAGAGTGAGAGGGAGAGTGAGAGTCAGAGTGAGTGAGTGAGTGTGAGTGTGAGTGTGAGTGAGAGTGATGGTGGGTGCGAGTGAGTGTGCGTGAGAGTTAGAGTGAGTGTGTGTGAGAGCGCGAGAGTGAGTGAGAGTGTGGGCGAGTGAGTGTGCGTGTGAGTGTGAGTGCGAGTGTGAGTGAGAGTGACTGTGAGTGGGAGTGAGTGTGGATGAGAATGAGTGTGAGTGAAAGTGAGTGTCTGAGTGCGAGTCATGGAGTGTGAGGGAGTGTGAGTGTGAGTGAAAGTGGGAGAGTGAGAATGGGAGTGAGAGAGTGAGCATCTGAGAGCACAAAGTACTGCGCCGGCACTTCGAGGTTCACCAAGTGCTGTGCCTGCACTTCGAGGTTCACCATGCGCTGTGCCTGCCACGAAATCTGCGCCTCGAGATTCACCAAGTGCTGCACCTGCCACGAAATCTGCACTTCGAGGTTCACCAAGTGCTGTGCCTGCCACGAAATCTGCACTTCGAGGTTCACCATGCGCTGTGCCAGCCACGAA